AAGACAAGCAATCCACAAGGAACACTGGCAGAATAGAAGACAAAGAATATAGATGAGAGGGAGAACAGGACTGAGTATTTCATTTAAATGACAAGAAGAGGAGACATTTCATTGAACACAAGTGACAGGCTGTTGCTGATGGCCAAGATTTCAAGACGGTTGCAATTGGGGGACAAGCGTTTTTAAGTCTGAAATAAATAAAATATAATGTACACAAAAATATGATGTTTGCAAAATAAAACATCACTAAAACAATTACAACAAATTATAATACATCAAACCATTTGCTGCAGTTAGTGGACTGAGACAGAGTGGATTCATGAAGAAAATGGGGGAAAAAGAATTTTTTCTTTTTTATTACAGTTTGTTTGCAACAAAACATTTTTCTTCTTTGTGTTCACCCACAAGACTGACCAACACTGTAAAAATGAACAATTTGAGAAAACCTAAAAAGTAATGCAAGTAGTTGCAAAATATTTTTGTTTTCTCAGCTAAAGGCTTTTATTTGTACTACCTTAAACTAAATTACTTATAATTAGCTGTCAGATCAACTCACAAACATGTTTGTTACATTTATATTGTCCAACTTAGCTACATCATAAATGAAAGTCTGCAAAACAGCAAATCCCAACTGTTTGGTCACATAGACACTCACTGCAGACAGATTAACTATATTTTTATATTTCTCAGTTTTAATAGTCAGTTCCTCATTTGACATGTAAAACGTAGGGCTGCAGCTGTTGGAAGGACTAAAATCAGTACAAAGACAGCATGCAAAGCTGCTGAATGTTAACTAGTACTGCAGTAAGGTGTACACTGTAAGCCATTTCAAGCTTACTTAGAAACAAGTTCACCTGCTGCGTCGAAAATGCAAGTAAACTCAATTTAGGTTCAACACTTAGTTCAAAGTTGTTCCGTGAATTTTCAAAATTTTAAACTAACACAGCAAATTTAACTAAACTTTAGAAAACAAGATGAATAAAATAAAGATGTGAAATTGAATAAACTACAGATGTTAAGTTGACACAGCTTCCAGATGCATGGAAAATCTCATAACAGGCACATTTATAGTTCTTTTATATTTTTCATTTTAAAGTATCAAGTCTTTATCTGACATGAAGAACTTCACAGCTGTAGTTGTTGCAGGCAGTTCTAAATTCTAAATTATGCTCAAACAGCTGTTCTGTGCCTGTACTGAATGCATGTGAAAAGCCCTGAAAAGCTCCTTAAAGAAAATGAAAAAATTATGATCACGTTTTCTCAACTTGTATTTTTAATCTGAAAGAGGTATTTAGAATTAATGCTTCCTGCTGCTGACCTACTTTATGGAGATGCAGATTTCATTTTCCAACAGGACTTGGCACCTGCACACAGTGCCAAAGCTACCAGTACCTGGTTTAAGGACCATGGTATCCCTGTTCTTAATTGGCCAGCAAACTCGCCTGACCTTAACCCCATAGAAAATCTATGGGGTATTGTGAAGAGGAAGATGCGATATGCCAGACCCAACAATGCAGAAGAGCTGAAGGCCACTATCAGAGCAACCTGGGCTCTCGTAACACCTGAGCAGTGCCACAGACTGATCGACTCCATGCCACGCCGCATTGCTGCAGTAATTCAGGCAAAAGGAGCCCCAACTAAGTATTGAGTGCTGTACATGCTCATACTTTTCATGTTCATACTTTTCAGTTGGCCAAGATTTCTAAAAATCCTTTCTTTGTATTGGTATTCAGTAATATTCTAATTTTCTGAGATACCGAATTTGGGGTTTTCATTGGTTGTCAGTTATAATCATCACAATTAAAAGAAATAAACATTTGAAATATATCAGTCTGTGTGTAATGAATGAATATGATATACAAGTTTCACTTTTTGAATGGAATTAATGAAATAAATCAACTTTTTGATGATATTCTAATTATATGACCAGCACCTGTATGTCATGCTAGTCAGACTGTCCTGTGGGAAAGGAAAAAGTATAACAGTATGACAGTAAAAGTACTACAGATGGCTAATGCCCTCCTCCCAATATCAAACAACAAAACACTACATAAACATGCATTTTTGTTTGTTTGGTTTGTTTGTTTGTTTTACCTGAAAATGTAGTTGTCTTTCCGCTTGTATTATTAGACTGCAGTAAAACAGTTTTCAAGACAAGCAATCCACAAGGAACACTGGCAGAACCGAAGACAAAAAATATAGATGAGAGGGAGAACAGGATTGAGTATTTCATTCAACTGACAAGAAGAGAAGACATTTCACTGAGCACAGGCAAGTGACAGGCTGTTGCTGATGACCAAGATCATATATATGTCAGTTTAGACTGTATGTGAAACCTGCTTGTCCAGTTAGCTTAAGTCAACATTTGTGGATAAATTATGCTTGTTTTGGAGAGGTCTTGGAGAATCAACATTATCATTCAGTGTTTCGCCTACTCTGGTTTGAAAGGTTTCAATTGGGTCACAAGTGTTAGTGTATGTAATCAATGTTTTTAAGTCTGAAAAAATAAAATATAATGTACACAACAATATGTTTAGGTCATAGCAAAATAAAACATCACTCAAATGATTACAACAAATTATAGTACATCAAACCATTAGCTGCAGTTAGTGGACTGAGACAGAGTGGATTCATGGAGAAAATGAGGAGAAAAGATTTTTTTTCTTTTTTATTAAAGTTTGTTTGCAACAAAACATTTATCTTCTTTGTGTTCACCCACAAGACTGACCAACACTGTAAAAATGAACAATTTGAGAAAATCTAAAAAGTAATGCAAGTAGTTGCAAAACAATTTGATTTTCTCAACTAAAGGCTTTTATTTGCTGGAGCCAATCCCAGCCAGAATTTGGCGAGAGTCTAATTAGCTGTCATACAACTCAAAAATAAGTTTTTTGCATTTATCATAAATAAATAAAATAATATCATAAATGTAAGTCTGCAAATCAGCAAATCCTTTGTTGACTGAAAATGAAATTTTAAGTTGATTCATTGGTGCGCAGTCATGTTGGAACAGGAACTGGTACTAAGGGGCCACGCCCAGTCTGCAGACAGTGATACTATATGTTTATATTTTTCAATTTTAATAGTCAGTTCCTCATTTGACATGAAAAACATAGTGCTGGAGCTGTTGGAAGGATTAAGATCAGTACAAAGGCAGTATGCAAAGCTGCTCAGTGTTAACTAGTTTAATACTGCAGTAAGGTGTACACTGTAAGCCATTTCAAGCTTGTTCAACTTAGAAACACAAGTTCACCTGCTGCATTGAGAACGCAAGCAACTTAGGTTAAACACTTGTTGTTTAGTGAGTTTTGAAAGTTTTAAACTAACTGAGCTAAGTTAACTAAACTTTAATAAAATAAAGATGTTAAACTGAATAAAAAGATGTTAAGTTTTTCACAATATCAATTTTCTTAGTTTTACATGTTTGGAAGAACCTTAAATAAAATTAAAAAAAAAATAAAATAAAAAAAAAGTTGACGCAACTTCCAGATGCATGGAAACTCATTACAGGCAGATTTATATTATTCATTTCTCATGCTCCTTAAAAAAAATGAAAAAAATTATGATCACATTTTCTCAAAACATTGTATTTATAATCTGAAAGAGGTATTATTTAGAATTTCATAGTGAACTTGTTATTTTGAGTTAGATTTAAAAAAAAATCTAAATATTGTTCAGTTAACTCTTTTTTTTTATTGAAACAAACACATTAACAAAACAGTACCGAACATGGGAGACAAGACAACAGTTACATGACATTACAAAAGGATATATAGTGTTTAACGAGGTTGTAGTGTGTGAAGTGTGCGTATTTCCAACTTATGCAGTCTATGAAATGCAAGAAAGGGAAAAGGAGGGGAAGTAAATAAAAAAAAACAAAAAATAACAATAATGATGATAACAGTACTATTAAAAAAATCAGCTTGTTACATTTCTAGAGGTTGGTGGGAATGTGCGTGGCCTCAGCCCCAGGTATTTGATTCAAGTTGAA